ATATAAGAAAACAAGAATGGAGATACCATAATAGAGGGAGACATTTTAGGTTTACCAAGAAATCAGGCACTAGGGAAATGTCGGGAGATCTACAAAGATGATACCAGCTAACAATCTCAGCAACAGAAGAGAGGCTACCTTAAATGCCCTCCCTTGATAATGAGATGGATGACTGACTTATATGCCATCCTATAGCCTTCATCCAGCAGCTGGTGAGAGTAGAAGCAGAGGCCCACACCCAATCACTGAACTGAACTGGAATCCAGTTGCAGAGAAGAACAAGTGATGGACAAAGGGGTCCAGACCAGGCTGGTGAAACCCAAAGAAACAGCTGCTCTGAACAACGGGGAGCTCTTGTTCCCCAGACTGATAACTGGGAAACCAGCATGGGACTGATCCAGACCCCAGGAACCCCAGTATTTATTCCTAGCATAGGTGTGGACTTTGGGAGCCCATGCCATATAGAGGAATACTCCCTGAGCCAAGACACATGGGGGTGGGCCTAGGCCCTATCCCAAAGGATACGATAGGCTCTGATGACACCCTATGGAAGGCCTCACCTTCTCTGGGGAGCAGAAATGATATGTGATAGGTAGGGTATTAGTTGGGGTGGGGGTCGGGGAGGAGGGGAGGGAGTGGGAACTGGGATTGACATGTAAATCAATCTTGTTTATAATTCAAATAAAAATATAAAAACCATCTATTTGATTTTTATTTTCTATGCTGCTAACTCACGTGGTTTCTTATAAATCTCAAGCTTCTAATCCATTAAATAATTGACTGTATATATCTACTTCTTATATTTCTTTTATTACTGAAAATAAAATTTGTACAATATATTCTGATCATGATTTAAGTTTTACAGATAAGTACCAAAAGTTTAATATCCCACGGTGATCTCCTAAATTGTAATTTTATATGGCATATTATACTCATCAATTACTGAGTTGTTGAGACTCTAGTCAAGGAATTAAGCATATATACAAATGGAATTTTATAAACTGCTATCAATTATAAAGTACTATAAATATAATTATACTAGGTCCTAGGAATGAGAATCAGAAGCCCAGCAAAGACAGAGCTTACATTGCTCAGCTGTTTAAAATGAACTTATAGAAAGAACAAGTTCTCCTGTTTTGTTATAGAGATTAAAGATATCAGAAATCTGCCATATCTAAACAACTGACTTTCTTTGATAGCTTCACAGGAAGCACAAGTTACCTATCATCTCCTTGTTGGAGCTGATTTATCTTTATCAAATGCTAGAAAAGCCACAAAAGGAGTCAAAACATTAATTACAGGCTTTACATAGAGTAACTGTGGCAAACGCTTGGTTTCAATTTAAAATTCCCTAATCTTTGGATTTCTTTTTTAAAGATGTCACAGGAACAAGTAGGTGAGATATCACTGGTTCTCTTTTGTTTCATTTTTTGACAGAAGTTAATTTGAGGTGTTGTTAAAAGCAGAGGCAGAAAGAAACTCTTTGGGTTCAACACTCTTAATGAGCAAGAAAAACCAATTCTGTCTCAAGCAAGCACCTAATTAGACATATGGCAAATGAGGACATGCATCTGAGGATGGTGATTTTGAGTCAAATTGTGAGATCTTCTTGCTGAGAGGAGGACTAGGTTCATTGAAGAAGTTCCTTCTTAAACTAACAAGGTGATGACAATGCTAAATGCAGTTATACTTGAGAAAGGTTTTCCTTACCGAAGGGGGTGGGACAGTAAAAACTGTCATTGAATTTATTACACTTCAATTGAAATTAGGAAGTATTTACTAAACTCTGATGCTAGATGTCACACAGGAAACACTGATATTTGACATTACTCAAAACCTGTCGTAGTTTGCTAAACAAAGGAAAAACATTGTTTGACTGTCATTGTATAACAGTTTCAGGTTGTTCACCACAGAATGTAATAAGTATTTATTCAGTGAGTACCTCAGAGACTTTTATTAATTAGACAATGTGATAGTTTATAAGAAAATGGCCCCCAAATGGAGTGGCACCATTAGGAGTTGTGACATTTTTGGAGTGGGTATTGCCTTGTTGGAGGAAGTGTATTACTATGTATTCAAGCTTTGAGGTCTCATATATTCTCAAGCCACACCAAGTATCTCAGAACATTTCCTGTTGCCTGCTGATCAACATGTAAGAACTCTCAGTTCTTTCTCCAGCATCATGTCTATCTGCATGCTTCCTTGCTTACCACCATGATGGTAATGGAATAAATATCTGAACTCTAAGTGAGCCACCCCACTTAAACATTTTCCTTTGTAAGTGTTGCCATGGGTATTGTGTCTTTTTACACTAATAGAAACCCTATGAAGACAATACATGATTGTTTTTCATTTTACACTCAGGTGTAGAAATTTTCTAACACTATTAAAATAACATAGTAGCAACAAAATCATACATATTTATGAAAATGGAAAGTGTAGTGGTAAAATTTATGAAAAATTAATTAACAAAATAATGAAGAGAAATTTGATAATTATGTAAGACTCGAAATTTATATGAATCATTTATTTAAATCAATAATCATTATACAAAATAAAAATGGGAACAACTCTGACTTTGTGAAGTAAGAGACGTGTTATTTATTTTCTTCTATCTCTAGATTCCTGCAGGGACCCCTGTGGAATGAGACTGACACAAAACAAAGGGTTACAAGACTTATTCCCCTATTCTCTTGCTGTCTTCAGTCTCTTACTGAGATTTGAGGAAACTGACTAATTTAAAGGCAGAGACTCACAACCCAGCTTGCAAAGGCCTTGTCCATTTCTAGGCTTCTAGAAAGACTGAAAGAACTCTGACTGACCTAGTAATAGGTCAGATGCTTACAACCTGGTTTTCTATCCCATTGCCTTACCTTCAGGCTCCTCCTGGGATCATAGTTATTGATCTCATTTTTGATCAGAGATATGTGATCCATGACCCCACTTACCCCCATCTGTAGGCACCTGCTGAGACACCTAGGGATTCCAAATGATCCAGTATAAGGTCTGAGATCCACCATGTGCTATCCAATGCCTTTGCTGTTTTTGGTTGTGTGCCCAAACCCATAAGGACTCTGACTTGACAATTTAAGGGCAGGGCCACTAACCCATGGTGATCCCTTCTCAAATATCCATCAGCTACTGCTGTACCAATAGGGACTCTAACTGGCTTTCTCTGAATTTTGAGACCAACAGCATATAACCCTAGTACTTTTGCTACTAGCTTGCTAATACTGAAGACCCTGTTTCATGAGGACAGAGTTCATGCAAAAAACAAAACTCCCTGCACCTGTGCACTATGCAGAACACATTCAACAAGTCAGAAGCTGCATCCCACCCTAGTGCAGTAGAGATACTCAATCTCAGAATCAATACTGAGAATCCCCACAGGTAAACTCCAAACATCACCCAGTATAGCCAAGAGCAGCTTAGCTTGCATCGAGCATTAATCCAGTCACTTACTAAAACCACATATGCCAGAAAGCTTCAAATATCAAACTAACTCCAGATTTGAAAGTCTCAATTAAAAAAAGGCAGATAAACCAGGTCACTAGGTTTTCTCCAAAAATTACAAACTCCATAGCAACAATGTTTTATGGAAGACACTTATATAAATTTCAAACAAAGAATTCAAAAGAAAAAAATAGTTATTTTCACAGAATTCAAGGACAAAAAATAATTCCCGAATGTATTTAAAGAGGGCACTAATAAACTCTTTAATGATCATAAACAGATAACTGAATAAAATAAGGAATTCAATTAAGGATATGAAAATAGAATTCAATAAAGGAATAGAAATACTAAAGAAAAACCAAATGGAATGGAAGCTAGAAGTGAAAAACTTAGTATGTTAACTAAAATACTTAGTGGAAACATGATTTCAGAAACTTGAATCGATCAGACAATAATTAAAAATAAAAAGACTATAATATCAGGACTTGAAGATAGAGGAATGGTATTAAAGGAAGAGCTTTGACTTACTTTATCATTAAATACAATGATAGTTTAAAAAATATTGCCTGAACATAACATAAAACAGGAGATGGTTAATCTTGGTTATCAACTTGAATGGACATTGCATCAACTGAAAGGCAAATCACTGGGTACACGTGTGAGTGATTTTCTTTATCAAATTGTTTTAGTTGGGAAGACTCAACATAAATATGGGTAGCATTCCCCAGAAGCAACCAATACAACAAGAGATAGAAGGAAACTTCTTTTCGCCACTTTGCCTTTAGTCTTGCTAATAAAATGTATTTATCTTGGTACTACTACTGTTGCATTCCTTCAATGATACTAGAACTAGCTTCCTCATGCTTTTGATGCAGACTGAACACCATCAGCTCTCCAGGATGTCTATGTTCAGAATGTCATAGGAAAACAGGCTGAGCAAAGCCTTAGGAGCAATCCAGTAAACAGCACTCCTCCATGACCTGTGTATCAGTTTCTGCTTCCAAGTCCCTGCCCTGTTTGTGTTCCTTTCCTGACTTCCTTTGATGATTAACAGTGATTTGGAAGCATAAACCAAATAAAACCTTTCCCCACAAGTTGCATTGGTCATGATGTTTCATGACAGCAGTAGTAACTCTAAGAGATTCCCCATAGTTTGAAATCTTTAGGTAATGGACTATAACTGATGTTCTCCCAAGATATGAAGAAGTACTATGCATATATTTCTAAACCATCGTTTGAACAATTAACTTGAATTAAAACCATCCAGGAAGAGGCACTGCTTATCCAAAAGTATTTCAACTTGCTCACATTCTTTTTATATGTGTACAATTTTATTTCATAGACATCAGGTTCACAAAAGCACAAATACTGGAGGTTAAAGAATCATGTAATGCAGCTTCAGAATTTTAGGAAAGCAATATATATATATATATAAACATATATAAATAAAGGAAATTTAAATATTTTTTACAAGTTTCAAAAAAACTTGTAAATGCCATCTGTTTAGAATCTTGGAGCAAGTTATCTGGAATTTCAATAAATAAGGTTTATTCTTGTCCAAACCCTCCATTAATGTGTTGACTTACTCCTTGCTGGTCAAAATCATTTATTAACTTTTTAATGTGAACCAGCTTGTTGTAAAGAAACACACATCTATCTTTTTCTTCACAAAATTTAGGATTAAGCTGTCGCATTTTCTGATATGCTACTGAAATTTTTTTAGTAATATCTTGGTATTCTTTTGATCCTGGAGAAAAGGCTTTTCTTTCTGAATCTAGGTTAATGATCGGTGTGCATGAAATCTGTATTTTGTCATACATTGCCTGCTTTTCACTATAATCTGCCCTGAATTGCTTCTCATAACACTGGCGTTGGTCAGGGGAAACTATAATGGAATAATTGGTCAAATAATCTGGAGTCTCAGATGTAAAACACGTCTTCCCCGAGTCAGGAAAAACTTTTTTAACTTCCTTGTTGGAATTTGACTTCATAATTTCATCTTGTTTTTTAAATTCTAGTTTCTGTTTCTCCATCATGCTGATAATGTTGTTTGGGATGGTTGTTTTTCTCTTTGCAAATGTACATTTGAACTTCTCAGGCATGAAATGCTGTATTTCTCTTGGTATTGAATACTTTTTTTGAACTGAAACACAGGATGGAGCTTCCAAAGAAGTGCATTTATTATTCTCTCTTTCGAACATGCCACTGTCATGGCTGTTGCTGTCACACGGATTTTGAGTCCCAGATCTTTCTGGAGCATTGCAAACATTATGATTGGATTTCATAAGCAGTGGTGAATTTGAAATTGGCATATGGGAGGTTGGCAATGGTGAAGGGATGTATTTGGTAGTAGTTGCAGATAATGGTAGAATTATAGATTTTTCACTGTTACCACTTTCTTGGCCATTTGATGTTAACGGTAGAGAAGATTTAGGGGGAAAGAGTCCACCTTTGTTTTTCATTAAAGTGTCAATACCAGATAAGTAGTGAAAATGATCTTTTGAGGAAGATGCATCATCTGTTTTAGAAACTACAGATGATTCTTTGCAATGGGTTGCCTTGGTAACATTGTGAAATGGATGTAGTTTTCTAGAAAGCACCGTATCCAATGACTGCTTGTCTTCCTCATTGTAACCAGGCCAATCTCTCTGAACCTCTTTGAAGATACTGTCTTTTAAAGTATATGACAAAGTGGTGGCATTCAAATTAGCCACCTGCAGCAGAATTTTTCCAAGAAAATTGCTATCATTTATTTTGATGCCATCTTCTTGCAGTTGAACAAGAAGTTCAGATTTTTTGTAGTCTTTTAGTGCCAGCAGGTGAATCACTCTGTCCCTATATGACCGAGTGTGGACACCGCTTATTGGCCTTGACTTTCGGGTGGCATATGCAGGGTTGTGAGGGCCTGTTGTTCCTCTCCTCTCATGTGCTTTGTCAGGAACAAAATGAGGCACTTTTCGAACTGGCACCTTCCTCTGTACATATGATTTTCTAATATTCTTCCATGTATTGCAGGATTTCTCTTCTGCTTCTGTCATTCTTGGTGGAGTCAGCTGAGAAGAGCTGACAGCCCTATTTGATGTCATTTTGTCTTGAATTGATTGTGGGCAGTTGAATTGTGGGTGAGTAGAGTTTGAAGTATTTGGTTGGGGATTGTTGGTTTTGTCTTGGTGGGTGTCATTACCCACATTTGACAATTGGAAGTTAAAGATTTTCATATCAGTAGATGAATTGTTTGGTGACATTTTGCTAAGCTGTTGAAATCCTTGGAATTGAGAACCTTGAGAAGGTAAAGAATGCTTATTTTTCTGGTATGTGGGACTTGCCTGAAAGATTGGCCTTGGAAACCCCATGGGCAGCCTGTTGACATTGCTCAGCCCTGGGTCTATGCTGTCTCCCTCTTTCACAGGTATCTGTCCTACCATTTTTCCTGTTGCTTTGCCTCCAAAAGAAGCCAAAGAGTCATATCTGTAAAGATCAAAGTTTGAAAGATAAAATGGTTTTACTCTCTTTGGCATGTATGAACTATTGTTGTTGTTTATAAAACTATACTTACAAAATATTTTATCCTAGTTGAACAAGTAAGAAATAGCTGACTGAGGAAAATTTTGCCTGGGTAAAATTGTTGTAAGAATCTAATTATTTATCTTTTATCTTCATAGTTTCTCCTCAGGAGGCCCTGTTAGCTCAAACTGAATATATGTTGTTCTCTTAATTCAATATTTAAAAGTTATCTCCTCCTCATAAACTTAAGTAAAGGTACTTGATAGTAGGATCAACAACATCTAAAAATTACTGGAGGCTGAAGGAGAAGGCTTCCATATGACATGTTTAAGAGCATGTCTACATTACACTTAGTCTGTCATGAAAAACATCTTTTTAGCCTTTTATAGGATTGGAGTTTGCCCTACCCATAGGGGCTCTCCCTTATGACCATATAATTTGTGCTAATTACAGAGAAAAATAAAGAATGCAGAGGTGTCTACTTACATTCTTTAATCTCTATACTTCTCTAATGAGCAGAAGTGATTTGTTCATATGTGTTTTTCTATCAACCTTTTACTTGGTATCCCCTTTTTTCACTATTGCCTCTCTCAATAATCTTTTATTGCATTATTCCTCTTCTTTATATAGAGCCTTCACATAAACTTTCTATTTAAGATAGTGCTCTACCATTTACAGTAACCCCAGAACACTCCTCCTATTATTTTGTATAGGGCAATATACTAATACAATCATTACATTTGCTTGTTTGTTTCATGTACATTACTTTGACCAGAATATACATTTAATAAGGGACTGAGTTTTGTCCTCTGTACATTGATTGTCTCCAGTAGCTAGAATTAGCTCTCAAATATTGATGAAGCACTTGGTAGTTCTTAAAAAAATATGTCAATTTTATTTACATTTCTCTAAGTCTCACTCTTGATAGTTTCACTATGATAAATTTCTATTCACTATTAAAAATCCATCTCAGAACTAAGTTAATATGTAACAACTATTATCAAGAATAATTATTTCTTTCATTATTATCCAAGGGCATTTTGTATAAGTTCTATGAAAAATAACAAATATTATATCATTATCCCATTTGTTTTTACACTAGTCTATGACCTTTAGAACCACACAGATTTTTTATATGTGATTTTACTGACCCTTGTCATCTTTGTCAATAGTACTATACTCTTTAAACAATAGGTGCATAGGAAAAGCAGTTTCTAAATGTCAAGAGAGTAACTAGTAATACCTTTGCATTTTGTAAGGTGAAGATATATCTCTATCACATCAAGAAGTATATGAGTCTATTAATGTCAGAGAGATGTTTCATTCCTCTTTTTCATGGTCCCATAACTTCATGGTACATTTCTATAAAATAAAAGTATGAAATAACTGATGTAGAAATAGCATAAAACCAATGCAATGCAGAAGTATAGTCAGCATTAAGATGCCTTAACACATACATGAATGCTATTTTAATCTGCTGGAGATCCTTAGTGAATATAAAAAGAAATAAGCTGACTTTTCTGTCTTTATATATACAATGTTTTAGATATATACTAAAAAATGTTCCAAGTGCAGTCTTATTTCCAGATAAAGAATTTTCTAATGGCAAAAGAATGAGAAGACAGACACATTTTGACAAAAATAGAAAATTATTTTATAGACATGAAAGTCCTTAAAATATTGACCCAGACTATTCTTTTTTATTCTATCGATGAA